GAAAGGTATAATCTATATGATTATGTATGTTTATACTTATTTTGCTTAATCATAAATGATTATAAATATATCTCTATTCACAGACTGATTAATTATAAATGATTATGACAGTTGGTGGCAGAAGAGGTGGTGGTGATAGAGGTGACAGTGATATATGTGACGGATGTGACAGTGGGGAGGTCATCTGGTGTCGCTAGTGATAGTAGTGGTTGTTGTGGTGGTGGTGGGGATGGTGGCAGATGAGAAAGGAACGGGCGACGCTATATAATCATTTATGATTATAACAAGCATGTCGGGCTGGTACGCCGGATGGTTAGAGCGGTAGATATAAAATATATGACTAAGGTTGAATCTTAAGATCTCTAATTTAATTTTAATCTCAATAGAACCTACCCTTCTCTCTCTCTCTCTCTCTCTCTATATATATATATATATATATATATATATATATATATATATATATATATATATATATATATATATATATATATATATATTCAATACAGCAAAAAAAAATTGTCTAGCCACATAATCACTTACATCACTGTTAGATCAATTTAAAGGAAAAATGATATAATGTTAAAAACAAAACCTTATTGTTCATTTATGAACATATATATTCATAAATGAACATATGTTCATAAATTAAATCTTGAAATTTACACCAATTTACACCAAGTTGGTAGATGGTCAATAAAGTTTATGTTCATTCTATAAACATTTGTTCACAGATGAACATATATAAATATATGTTCATATATAAACATATATTCATAAATAACCGTAAGTATATTTAAATTTACATAAATGTGGAGAAGATTTAAAATTACAACAAACTAATATTTAAACGTATGTTCATAAATGAACATAAGTTTGTATTTAGAATAAGCTTAAATTTACATAAAATATTTATACATAAAATAAGCTCAAATTTACATAGCATAAAGAAAATATGTTCATAATGGGGAAAATAGAGCATACTGGTATTTATTAATATGGTTATATTCATTTATGAACATGTTCATATGTTTCTTTTTTAAAGAGAAATTAAATATCCTCCTCCAATTTCCTTCTATTTTTCTTTTTACCCATGTTAAATGGTGACAAGTAGATTAAAATATTATTAAGAAAAATTAAATATGATACATGTCATCATTTGACATAGATAGGATGATGGTAGGAAGAAATTGTTGGAGGATATTTAATTTCTCTTTTTGAAAACAAAACACATTCATAAATGAAAATATATTCAAACATGTAACGCTCGTGTTTGCTGCTAGATTAATCATAGTCAGTAATCGCTTGAGTCAACTATTGTAATCTTTACATGAATGAAAAATGATTATTCATATATTTATGTGCTTATGTAGGATATTTTATACGAATTATATAAGTATTTAAGAATACAATTAATAAGATTAAAATACACATCGAAAGTACGATTTTATTTAGGACGAATAATGTTAACCTAGTTGTAGTATACCTAATAAGGATTCTGGAGATATAAATAATGTTCAAATCTAACTTTGTATGAAGAAGTTAGACTTCTTCGAAGTTTCGCGATTAAACCGACATGATTCTGCATATCGTAAAAAGTAATTTTTTTTTATAAATTACTTTTTAGCCTAAGTGATCTAAACAAAAGTCGCAGTTGTCGTTAAACCGAGAGAGCGAATATGGAGAACGTCTAAATTTCACTTCATTAGAGGAAGTTATGATTTTTCTAAGATTTGGAATAACATTGTGCACCTTAGAAATCAAATTTTAGATCGGTATATTTTTAGCAAGATGAGAAAGTTAATGGAGCCCAACGATATAAGGACAGTCGAAAACGGACTCTGGATGAGAAATTTATGCACTTTATATGGGCTTTAACAGTCTAAGCCTGTGTGAAAAAGTCAAAATTAGCCAAAAAGAAAGTTATAGATCTCATATAGAGCTTTCCGGGGATATAAAGTACGTCAAAAATAAAGCTCGTATGAAAAAGTTATGTAGTTTTCAAAATCTAAAAAAGGTATGCGTGTGGGAATAGCGTATTCTCGAAGACAGCCACGTAGCCCCACCCAATAAAGGACACATGTCAACCAATGGATGGAGCCACATCACCATGCGTGGTGCGATTTTAAAAAAGGTTATAAATACCCTTCATTCCGTATATGTTGCTCATATCTTTCCTATACAACTCCTCTCTCTGAGTTCTTCCCCACTATAGCCTCTTTTTCCTCAAGTTTTCTAGCTTTGCGGAAAAGACCTGTGCCCCCTAAGTGCTCGGCTAGTTGTAACCTTTGAGTAGAAGTTCTAGAGTCAGTATTTTGTCCGCTTAGTTCCTGATTTTCATCAAGAACCTCTGTAGGTTAAGCTACGCTTAGTTTATATTAAGTGTAACTTTTAATTATTGTCATAATCGTTATTATGAATCTATAATTAAGATGCAGCAGTGATTCCAAGTCGTGATACTGATTTATCTACTTATGGGAGTGATGTCTAGGCTAGATTTAGT